CATAGCTCATATAGCATCAAAGTCTGAGGCATATGCGCATTTTGATTAGTTTTAAAATCTTCAACATGAAATTTGGTTAGCGATATAATCGTCAGCACTTTGGAAAAGAGCATTTCATCTTTTTTATGTCCCGAATGCTGTTCGTTTTTGGACATTTGGACTGGTAAGACTTCTCGTCTTTCAGTCGAAACAAACTCTAACTGCGCTATGATCGGGATACAGCCCTGTGAGCAAGATGTGGTAACAAAACCAAGCTCTACCACTTGTAATGGAGTTAACGTAGCAACCTGGAGCAAAATTCACAAATATCGTGCACAGAGCATTTCTAGTAGGTCAGCGAAGAGATCCCATTGAAACTTCACCAAGCAGCAGCTTAACGAGTTGGTGCACTACAAGATGGTATCGCACACGAAGTCCTTCTAGTGCACGTAACGTGGAGATCGACGTAGCTCGAGCTACCACAATACACCCTCTACATGAGATGTGACCGCCCGTATAGAATAAAGGCCAACTTCGCAGTTCGCAATGTCTATCTCACAGCACTTAAGCAATGACTGAATTTTCCATTTGTTAGTGGTTCTCGGCCTGAAAGTATTGTGGATTTTTCCCAATGATCGTCGGCAACCTGCGGCGTAACATGTAGTGGTGATGGCGCAAAATCGTTATTATCCATATTGCTTTGAGATTAGCCCGAGTACACTCGTTCCTTTTTATACCCTTGATACTATGTTCTAGAACATATTCCAATACAGTTGAATCCGGTTTGAAAGTGAAAAAAATTGACAAAAACCACCAATCTTCCACGGTAACAAAATATTTCACCCCAAAATGTTCGAAAATCCCTGGTTTTCTCTAACCTTTATTGTTATGAGTACGACATTTCCTTTTAGAATGTTCCGAAAATCTAAAATTAGGCCACAGAAATGCTTACCTAGCTTATCTATTTCAATATCCTCATAACCCGATTCCGAGAGAAAAACGTATCGACGACGTAATTGGGGTACTAAATCCTGAAATGTCCATCTTGCACAAAACCAGAATACCACAATTGACATTTGTATTGATCTCAATATGTATAGCGCCACAGTAACAGTCGCCTTCAACTATAAACCAACACATTCAGGTCATAACAGGCTTTACTACTGGAAAAAAGGAAAAAATTTTTGACAATCTACCAATGACAAACTCTGAATTTCAATGACTCATAAAACGCTCTTTTCATTGAGGATCATGTTTTGAACGCGGAAGAAATTAAAATAGAAAAGAAACATTTCCCTTAGCAAGATGTATTGGAGACATTCAATGTATCGCTGGTTTTTGTCTCTGCCCAGTATGCGTGGAAAATTTAAAAATACAAACCTCGTCCTTAAGTTCGTTCCCAACTAAATTAGAATTGAAAGAGTAACTTGCAAAATCCTCCCAACGGTTTATCGCTTCACTGTGGCTGGGTGGTGTTCCTGGGTGTCGGACTGCGATGTACAGTAGCGGATTAATCCCCTAGGAGGGTCTCCCAAGCTCAGAAGGAGTCCGGCGTTTCCAGGAATCAGGAAAACAAGCTAAGAGTAAACCAATACCAGGATCCACCACTGTCCTGGTATCAAAGTCGCATGGTGGTAAATCTCACTCTGATCTACCAGGGCTGCGACTGCCTGTGGTGGTGAAGACCTGGGACAGACTTCGGCCAGGCTGACCTCGGGAGTCCAGGAAACCATAATGGCTTAACCAGTAAATGTACGAAAAATGGAGATTATGCTGAGGCCTGCACAACTAGTGAGGACGAGCCATTCAAGTGCCAAGTAAGTAAGTAACTTACAAAAAATATAAATATCTTTAAGGCGATAAAGCAGGATCTTTTCTATCAGTCTGCGAAGTATTCACGTCCTGTTGCGCTTTAGTTGTTCAAAACAAGAATTATGTAGATAACGTTAAAAGCGTATAAAGGATTTACGACAGCTGCTTAGAGTGCGCTGTTACATTGCCCTTCACTCAAAACCTGCTGTGTTAAGGACAACTGTGTGACACGTATAACGTGCTATGACACCAAGCCCGTGTGCTATGACACCAAGCCCGTGTGCTACTTAGTTATATAGCATGATAAACATATTTCCCCCCAACCGTTTGCCGCACCACAGTGGCTGGCAGGTGTTCCTGCGTGTCGGGCTGCTATGTACATAGAGGGGATTCGTCCTCCCAACAGATCCTCCCAGGTTGAGGAGTCCCGCGTTTCTATCAGGAAGACCAGCTAAGAGTAAACCAATACCAGGTTCCACTACCGTCCTGGTATCAAACTAGTCGCATGGTAGTAAATCCCCCTTTGATCCACAAGGGCAGCGACTGCCTGAGGTGGTGACCACCTGGGGAAGACTTTGGTTACCCAGACCTCGGGACTCCAAGGAACCACAATAGTTAAGCCAGCAAAACTCCGAAAAAATGGAAGCTATGATGGAGCCCACACGTAAGGATATGAAGTTAACAGGTTTAAAGAATCTTTGGAATAGGGTCGCTAACAGAGTGGAAATAATGCTTCCGGAATGTTATTTCAATCATAAAGGTGTCTGGAACTTCGGGAAACAAAAAGCAACGAAAAAAAATCGTATTTTTAAAATCTTTGATATCAAAGCAATAGATTGAAACACCAGCGCGGCATTCAGGGATATGATAGTGTCCTCTTCTACGAAATTTATTTGAATTAACTACGACGGGTCGACAACGACGTACATATTAGCGGTGAAAGGCGCAATCATTCTGGGGCAAATATGCATTTACATCAACACATGTCACTTAGATGGTGTCAATATTGGAATCGAGTTTGCCATTGTGCATGAAATATTTCCCCATTAAACCGCATTAATTGATAAAGGTCTTTTCGAATGTTTTTCAATGCCAACATACTTCTCGAGAGATAAATCCCTTTTCTGGAAGATGGTACGTTGGCATGACCGGTGTCGAAAGATCTGTCCATTCTGAGGAAAAGTGACGACTACAAATTCGAAAGGGGAATAAGAGCAACTTCTCGCGTGGTACACGCTGAATCGGCGAAGAATGCGGTGATGTTGGCGGTTCGCCTGATAAATTCTTTTAAAACCTTGATACAAGCAGATACATTTCAAAAAAATCATTGTACCTTGTTTTATAAAACTTAAAAACTTGGTAAGGAGACGGTTTTGGCGCTTAACGTCAGCCTGAACAATCTAATTAACTCTAAGACGGAACTGAAATACAAGTGAATAGTTGGAGATGACCATCAGTTGTGACATTAATCAATAACAGCTGATAATGAACACTAGCCAAAACACAAAAGAGAGTTTTGACTCACTGTACAAATACAAATCCACTGAGCAGCTGTTTCAACGTTCGATGGTAAGGTGCACCTCAAGCCAACCCTCTCAATCAGCCCGCCTTTATAAAGGCAACTTTCAACCCAGCACCTTATTTTCCTACGGGATGGTCTAGCCTATAATAATTACATATTCCATGTAGACACAAAAATCAATGACATATATTTTAACCTGCACTACATCTATAATACAGCCCAGCCTTCGTAGTCTTCGCCACAGCACCTGTAGGGGCTCAGTCAGCTTTCCATTCATAATGACGTCTTCAGAAACCTTCGATGGGCAAGCAGAGCCATACTCCGAAAGTAAAGCGCAAAAGTTGCAAACTTCAACAGGAATCGTAGTGGAAAACAAACCTTGAGTACTTCATCAAGAGCACCACCGCTATCGCAATCAAAAAAAACTTCCTCAGGTTTCTCTATAAATCAAGGATAGGTAAGGAAAAAGTAACTTTCATAGAATAGAGTTGTAAAACATACCCATGGTATTGAGGTCTAGGTTTCCTGAATTTAGGTCGCTTCTAAATAAAAGTAAAGTAATTCATAGCACGAATTAATAACATCTTAACAGCATGTGGCGGCTCTATATTAAATATTTGTCATATTCATTTAGTCCCCTCAACGATTTACCGCCTCATCGCTGCTGGGAGGTGTTCCTGGGTAAAGGGCTGCGAAGTGCAGCAAGGTGATTCATCTCCCCAGCATAGCCTCTCGAGCTGACAAGGAATCCGGCGCTTTCAACAGGAAGCCCAGCTAGGAGTAGACCAATACCAGAATCCACCACCGTCCCAGTATCAAAGTTGTATGGCGGCAAATCTCCCTCTGATCCACAAGGGCTGCGACTGCTTGCGGTGGTGACGATCTGCGGCATACTTTGGCTAGGCCTACTGACCTCTGGACTTCAGGGAACCACAATGACTAAACCAGCACACCTCCGAAAAAGTGGAAATTGTGCTGGGGCCCGCACAACTAGTCAGGATGGCCATCGAAGGTTAAAATAAATAAGTATATTCGTTTAGTAGTTCGAAAAATTCAAAATAGAACAGTATACGAAAAAAGATGAAATGCAAAAACTTGTTTAGATAGTCAACCGGACCTATGGCACTCATTGATCTTCTTTTGTGAAAGAATTAAAGCAGTCACTGGAAACATACCGTCCGGATCCGTCCTGTGTTGACGACGAGCTTCTCGGTGAATCGACATCAAACTGACCCCTTTCCTAAACATCGTGTGATCTGAATGCTAGTCAATATCACCCCCTCCCATACACCACAAATCTGCACATCTTGCGGAGAAGCTGTTGTAGAATGATCCTTTTCGCTGGAGTCAGATGCTAAAAAGCGAAACGCTGTAAAAAATTCTTGATTTCTTGTTTCACTGCTTTAGGTATAGCAGTGTTATCTTCATAGTGCTCGAAGATGATCTGACATGAAAAGACAGGACAAAGAAAACTTACACGGAATGGAGAGCTCTCCCAGACGTTCGCATCCACCATGACTAACACTCATCTAGACGTGTTAACTAGTACAAATTCTTAACAGCCATTAACAGCTAAGATGAAGATGAAAACAAGCAAGTATTTGCAAACACCACACTTTGGAACATGATGACACTGTCAGTAAGGAATTTTAATAATAATTGAATTACATGATATTTAAAAATTTGATCAAAGTTCACTCTTCTCTTCATTATGAGTAGTAGGATGCTCATGTAGATAAGTCATATAGACACCAAGAGGATCGATATCTTCGAATTTATGGAAAGAGATGGGTAGAAGCCTTCTGAAATTGTCATGGATAACCAATATAGATGATGAAAACAGCTCAAAGAAAAATAAAGAGGAAGAAATGGACCGTATGTACGCCTCCGGGTAATCAATATGCCGAGCTTGATGGAAAGCAGCACTGTGAACAACCACTATGCCAGTCCTTCGAGCACACACACCTGTACAGTAAGGAAGGACAACAACCAGTTGTGCTTTGAAAAATGAAAGAGCTACAAACCACACCAATAATCATATCATCTGGAGAATCTTCAGTAGGACACTCACATTCCGAGACAATTGTTCGCACAGCGGAAACAGAAAACACCATGCTCAAAACAGAGAATGACAAGGAATAGCATACGGGAAATTAATGACGTAGAAGAGCTACCCTGATCCACCTGTAGGATAATCATAACCAGAGGAACCTGAAGTCGAGAATCCGTAACCATAACGTTCCCCTATTATGATCTGAAAATGGATATCATCTACGTAACGGAATACTTGATACAACCTTAAAGTCCAACCACAGAAAAACAAGTGGTTCTGGTTGGCCTTAGAAATGATTAAAACGTCTGTACTGATGTCAACGAACACTTCAAATATTTGTAAAATTTGGGTATATAAATGCACCTTTTCATTGCTATTGTAACACGAAAGAAGTCGCAGCAGTCGTGAAATGCTAACCAATGTATCGTCATCCACGATAAGAAGCCAAGAGAAAAAATCCGATTGAGGCGGAGTCACTCCCACAATCTTCGAAAAATGTTGAAGAATGGCGAAGGTCTTTGCACAGTGCCCTGAATTTCAAATATTAAACTCCTTGGAAAAAAATCTTTGGAACCAGTCTCACGAAGTCTCCAAGAAATAAGAAATAAGAAAGATTTCTAAACTTTGTTCCCCAACCACCAATGGGCTACTATGTCATCATGGCCGTACTTGTGGGCGTTGGAATATGCTCTACGACCAGATAGTGTCACGTAAGCTATGAAGTTTAACTTCTCGATGCACAATTTTTTACAGAATTCCTGTAAATAGTAAACTAGTGCCGGAGCCAATGTCCAAGGACGCGGCCAAAGACCGTGGCAGTGACCAGAGAACGTCCTATCATAACTTTCTTGGGACACTTGGGTAGAAACCACATGAAACAAGGAGCACGCTATTAACGGGTAAAGTGCCCACGATTTTTGGTGAAGCACGGTCCAGTAACGTGGCATCCAGCGTGTAACTACAGTAGACATGCTCGTACCATCCGCGAGATTTAAACACGACGAATAAACTTTCCAGAAGAGGTATTCTGCATAACATTTTGCATAGAATAAGCCTTTTCTCTACTTACAGGAAGCATAATTTCAGAGTGGGATGACATCTTGAATGAATGCAAAAAGTCAAGGAAAAAAACTGTTCGGCAAAATAAACGGCGAAAATATCACTCATGAAAGCGACAATGGGTTAAGATTTATGCGCCACTACTACTGCCAAACCTTTATTCAAAAAAAGAAAAAGTAAATTTCGTACTCCTTAATGAGAGTTATGAGGACAATTACTAAAGGCAAATGAATTTATACCTCTCTCCTTATTGGGTACTCCAGAGTCGACTGTAGGTATATCATCATCTGCTCTATCACTGAAGTATACAATATGAGGTAACGATGATCCCCATGTAGATTTGATAACAGGCACTAAATGATATGTAGAGGAAACATGACAAATACGAAAACTCAAGATGAGAAAAAAGTACAGCGCGTGTCATGGTTGCCACTGAACGTTTTTACGGCCACAAACATATTCTCCTCTGAAACAACAATTTCAGGCTGACATAAAGACTCCTGTAAATAAGAGAAAAATAACTTATCGTTACAACAAACGTGAAAGAATTCCAAAGGATACTATGGACTTAGCCTAGCAAAAAAATAATAATAATACAGTCCTTCGTCACGAATAATAAAGGCACTTCAATAAAACTACCAAATTACCTTATAAGAGATAGCACAACCTTCTTTTCCAGATAGACAGAAGCGACGCGGATAAGATGACAAGGCTACTCCACTTATTTTGTACACCAGCAGCGCTAACTGAAACGAAGTAATGATATTTAAAGCAAAAAGGTAAATAGTATTTAGGAGTTCAATTCCTTCTTAAGGTGCGCTAGTTACTGATTTTTTTCAGAGTTTCTGAATGCTCTGGAAGTCAACCATAAAAGGACAGAAAAAAGGAAAAAGCTCTCAGCGCTGATCAATCCCTGAGGTATGCGCCATGCGTCCGACTTCATTAAGCATCGCTGGAGGTGACTGAATGCATATTTGACCTTTACAATGATACGCGTGATCTGTCGAGCTAGTGCTGCTACCCTCTCAGAAAAGTTTAGCACCAATTTCGCGACCACGGAAGGGTGGAAAGCTTGGCGAGTCTGGAGTGTGGGGATCGAACCCATGTGTATTATAGGGCGTCTCCGACCACCATATTTCAGAAAAATATAGTGCAAGTTCAAAATTCCAGTATGCACACAAAACGTTTAATGATTGTTCTCACCTCATGCTTGGCGTCAATCGCAAATGAGTTTAGGACGGCTTCACCTGAAGCTTTCATGGCGTCAGTTAAGCTATAAATCAAAAAATATCAAGAAAACCCGGAAAGTCGAAAACAAAACTCCAAACAACTTGGCAATCAGTCCTTTGGAAAGCACAACTCCACCAGCGAAATCAGGATATACGAGTCTGTCTTCTTCAGAACTATCAAATCCGTGAAAGTGATGGATGATAGTAGGCCTTAAACCATTTTAGTCAACACCCATTACCCAATTGAATGCAAACTCTGATTGGTAGTTATGAATTACTAGAAGTAGAACCCACTCCTTATCTCTCAAACCATGACCCAAGAAAATTCTATCACTAGGATGAAATTTTCCCAGGAAATGGAAAAGAACATCTGCATTCGGAATGCTGTCTGACTCTAGAAACACGTACCAATCAGATGAAACCAGTGAAAGAATCCTGTAAGAAGAACGAAAAGAAACGAACAGAAGGGAAACAAGACAACAAAACAAATTGGCAGGACACCACAATTGACGATAGTGAAGTTACACGACGTCTATACCTTCTAAATAGCGGCCATATCGCCCAAAAACCATAGATTTCAGGTAAATCTCTATGGGGTAGTAGAACCTCAACATTCTGAAAGAAGAAACTGAACGGCATGATTACTTAAACGAGAACTTGTCTCACCTTGCCTAGACTTCTGGCTTGCTCATAGATTAAATTCTTTAATGCTGCAGCCTTCGAATCGTCATAGCTCGACTTCTGGCCAAGAATGATAAATGTTGCCAATTCTAAAACTAGATACACACATTAAGTTAATAGACATGAACACTTTTACATGATTTCGTACTTCACCGATCTGGAAATTTTGGAAGAGGACCTGTAAGTCCTTCAAAAAATTCCGCCCAACAGCTTCTTAACGAGGTTTCAAACATATAACTATAACCAGAGAAGTAGCAAGATATGAGAACACCACATTCCATAGGCGGATAAACTCAATAATTTTTTGTTTCGAGCATCGCTAGTGCTTCCCATCATTATAAATATCCGAACGTACTTGTATCTATCGTGGCAAAAAGAGAAGACCGTGGCGTAGATAAGAAATAGAGCACAGTCCAAATAAAGACTAATGATTCCATCCAATGCGGATCGTCAAGTGATAATCGATTCCTTCCTACGGCTAAAAACTTTCATCGACAGATGTAAAACGACCAAACATTTCTAATAAAGTTATGGGCACTCACCAGGACCAGCGCAATGCCTCGCTTCAACTCTCGTCCCGCGACCTCCAGGAACTATACAACTGTAATTAGACAACGGACACAATGGCCAGACAACCACAATAGTGCTGAGATATATGCAAAACTCCGGACCGCAGATGTCTGCGGTGGGGAACGAACACGATATTACCCTTTCCGCGGTCTAATGCGTTCACCACCACACCATGCCGATCCTTCGTGTGATAATAGAAATTTTTCATAGAGCAATTACATGAATGTACGGGCGTATTCGGCTGTAATAACGGATTACTATCACCGATAGCACCAAAGAAATGTGCCGTACGCTTAGATATGGATGCTTTATCACAGTTGAAATGACTTCAATCTGTTGTTTTCAGGAATTCAATCATTTTTGACCTTATAAGAGTCAAAAAACAGCGCAATAAAGAAAAACGTATAAAAACAACTCAAATGGCGTCATCGTGAGAAAAGTCGTGCAAAGACAATCATGAAATGGAATAAAAAGGAGCAGAAAACAAAAAATATCGAACAACACATTACAAACAAGAGGAAGAACATTTCGACGTCAACCTTCCTAACTTTTCTAAAGGTATTAGCAAGTCCTATTACCAACAATAACTGGATAGAGGAGGTTTCACTTCGATACACTCGACTACGAATTTTGATGTACGGCTGAGTATACTGTAATCCAGGAAACCATAAACGTAGCAAAAGCTGATCCAAATCCTTCCTTGGCGAGCTCCCAAAATCCTCCTACCTCATCTTCGTCCACCTAAACGACGACTTACACGGAACTTACTTCTTGCATTAACCACAATGATGCTGAGATCTTTGGAAAACTCCGGACCGAAGGAAGATCTCTACGGTGGAGATCGAACATGCTGTTACCCTTTCCGGGGGCTAACAAGTTCAACATTTCACGATGCACGTCTTTCATTTCGCCCTTCTCTCAGCTAGTTTTCTATCCACCAGTGCCTTAGCATGGCACGGAGTTTTTCCAAATATCTCAGCATTATTGTAGCTGATTTATCATAAATTCCTGCCGTGAAATAATAGTACGCAGTAAATAAAAAATTAACATTTCTTGCATTAGTTAAACTAACCGTTGCTCTCCTACCTGTTGGTATTTGACTACAAAATGTTGCGCAACCACTGTCGATATCGCAACATATGCAAGAATAGCAAGAATACCATGCATTGATGTCACGCCAAACGCTATCCCAATTATCAGGGACAACACCTAGGGTTAAGATTAAGGAAAGTTAGGAAAGTTAGCACAATAAAATAAAATACTTGAAAAAAAAACTACTTGTCTTCCCCAGTATACGACGTCGAGTAGTTCATCCTTATCGGACCATTCACTACCAGCACGAATAGCCTTAGATAACTGAAAGGTATTCCGTACGTAAAACACCTATTGTAAAGAACAACTAAACTGTTATGGACAATATTCCGGTCGGACGTTAGAACAACAGAGGCTACCGGATAACCATAAATATTAAGGGATTAGGAGTATGTGCAGCACAACGGTTAAACCAACTACTAAACATACAGAGCTAATGGTTAAAACTCGCACAAGAGGAAACTAAATTATCACGCATTAGAGGTTCCTCCGAATGGTTCACGCCTTGTCGTGGCTGGGAGGTGTTCCTGGGTACTGAACAGCGATGTACAGCGGGGAGATTCGTTCCCTCGGCTGGGTCTCCAAGCAAGGAGGCAGTCCGTCGTTACCATCAGGAAGCCCAACTACGGGTAAACTAATGCCAGGATCCACCACGGTCCTGGTATCAAAGTAGCTTCTTGGTGGCGAATACCCCCTGATCCACAAGGGCTGCGACTGCCTGTGGTGGTGACGACCTGGGGCAGACTTTGGTTAGGCCGACATCGGAACTCCAGGGAACCATAATGGCTAGACCAGCAAAACCCGTAAAAATTGTAAATTACACTGGGGCCCGCACAACCATTGAGGATGGGCCATCCAAGTATCCATCAGAGGTTAGCAAATCGGTACCAGAATTGCTTGAGAGCGAAAACATGGAATTGGTTCATGGGCACGCAGAAGCAACTGAATAATTGCATAGTAAAGCTCGCATTTAACACAGTTTTAAATAAACGAATGAAAAGGGGAAAAAGAAAAAGCAACATTCAGCGAAGAAAAAACCATCTTAAAGAAACGACACATTTTTCACTCAAAACATTGAAGCAAACTGACCGACCCTGTCCAGCTATATTCTTCCGAAGCTGCATTTCGTTTTGGTGACATGAACCTTAAAAAAAACTGATGAGTTAGTTTAAAGACTTGTTCCACTAGCTAGTGTCTGTACGATTTAAATAAACGGAAGATAGAAGACGTAGAACAAAAAATAGTGGACGTAGTGTGTTCGAACCAGAAATTTGTGAATCATCATCCAGCGTATGAGTGAAAATATTAGAGCATGTTAACTGTGGGATGTACCAGTGAGCAAAGAGGTGACGGTGGTTCGGGGCATTCAGTGAATATGTCCACTTCAGTACTTTAGAAAAATACCACTTAGGAGGACTATGTGGTAATGTAAGAGATGAGCTCTGGAGCTGACGTGTTTAAACTAAAAACAGCTGCTAGAGGTAAGCAAATTCGACGCTGGAACTTAGAGTTCTCAGAAGAGGTATGAGACATTTTGTCGCTTACTTACCAGTAGATTTTTCTGCGCAGACTTTTGTTCGGGATTGATTTATTGCTAGAAGTTGCAAAATAAGGCATTTATGGTTGCTAATTCCTCCTCTTCTGGTGTAAAGCAACTTAGTTGGCTACCCTAATGTCAACTATAAACACGGCTGAGAATGGCGAAACGAAGGACCTGCATGGTGTTGTCTTGTGGTGAAGGCGCTGCCTCACGGAAACCGCAATATAGAGTTCGATTCCTACGGCAGAACGGTCCGGAATTTTGCAAATATCTCAGCATCATTGTAATTATATAAATCTATCTGTTCGTCAGCGAAGCGCTGTCATCGACCGTTCAACAAACCAAGCCATCTGTGTTTTCCTTTTGTTGTATCAAAAGCTGCACAGCTATAACGGGATATTTTTTTTTCCAAATTATGAGCTAAGAAGCTTGATTTTGCGAAAATACTTCCATTTAAGGATGTAAAACGATGCTATAGGGAAGGGTTGTGCTTCAGAAGAAACTGCTCAGATTGTCAACCAGTAGTGGACGCTGTACTCATCGCAGTCGACTTCTTCGTCTATGTCGAGGGATCATCGTGAGCTTTCAGGGACCTAGCTCGATACATCGGTAGGCCACTGCCAGTCATTGTAAAGGCCAGATATGCATTCAATCAGCTTCGATGATAATTTATGAAGTCGAATGTATGGCACATCCCTCAGGGATTGATCAACGCAGAGAACTTTATCCTTTTTATCCTTAAAGTTTGTCCGTGACCTCTTTGAGAGCGATAAAGACAGTATTCTCTGTATTCTATTACGTTTATTACTGGTTTCTTTTTTCAATGACAATCGTTGTTCATTGAGCTCCTTAGGTACCCATGGGATACGGCATCGCTGATTGTATGGCTATTCATCTCGGAGTGTTTTCCACATCAAGAAAGATATTCATGAAAATGTCCTTTCCTTTCATTTGACTTTTTGAGCATCGCATCTCTTGAGCTCTCAATATCTTAACTGTTTGAGTTTTGAGCACTCTTTGGTAACAACCTCGTGGTAGCTTATCGATGAGAGAAGGCCCATTGATCATTCAGACCCACCTTAAAAGAAAGTCGGTTTACAATAGCCTTTGAGCGTGCTCTGTACTGTTGTCACTTAACGCAACTGCTGATGGAACTGCTATTCCTTTCAAAGGTTTCTTCAGAATGGCGAAAGTTAGAGAAGAGAGCTTGTAGCCCAAGCTGGCTTTTATAATTCCATTAATGGTTTTAACGTAGTGCTAATACAGTTCACTACCGAAACCAAGCTTGCTTAACTGTTTATGGTTCATCTAAACTGCTGAAATGCGTAAAAGTCTGGAGTTCCACATGATGTTGTGGAATAGAAGGACTTTGGAACTCGAGGGTCATTTATTCGACCTAATTTTGGAAGACGATGGAAATCTAACCTTTATACCGCTAGATCTTAACGAGGCACTACGGTCGAGAAAGTTCTGACGACGATGCTTAGGACGATCACTTCATTAAACTCCTTCAACATCCTTCTCTTTATCAGTCAGTGCTAGCTATTCTGTAAAAATATGTTCGACGAGACGCTGACCATAGAAAATGAAGGATAAAGCAGTTTGCGCTGATCACTTTCTAGGAAGAGATGTCGTTCATTCGGCTCCATTCCTTACATCGTAGAGGGGTTCGGATAAATATATGGACTGTATAATTACTTGAGATGGATGAAGTCGGTGTTTTTATCCTTGCACACAAATCTGATACCAATTTGCCGACCTCGTAGGGATGGAAGGTTTATGGAGCTTGCGGCGCGGGATCGAACTGGGAACCACGTGCGTATTGCAGGACACGTTTAACCACTGAGCTTCATATATCCTTCTTAACTAATGCTCAGAGAAGCAAGTCAGTGGTACCGCACTGCCATAGTGTCGCATTCTTCAGCGCATGAACGTATTTTTCCCGTAGATAACACGCCCAACTCCGACTCTTCGACATTAAATGTGGTGCTAAAGAGGCCGTGAATTTGGCGCATGGAGAAATTCTAGAAATCGGCTCCTTGTAGTTTCTTCGATTGATATTTCTATACTTACAATCGTGTTATCGCATACATGGATTTGTTTGGGTGAATATGGCTTCTATCTTGCATGAATGACCGATTCGATTAAGAGCGTCAAATCAAGTGGATGCGAGATATTTCAATGGAGCCGGTTCGATCTCGACTTTAATAACCTACATGCTTTACGCCTATTACCGGAATACCCTAAATTGTAGAATATTTCTTGCGAAAAGCTACAAAAAACGAGCGTTCTCAGGACAGAGTGCGGCAGCGGGCGCATTGGCTAAGACGACTGCAAAGAAGCTGTTGAACTCTCAGACCATATTAGGCTTCCAAAATGTAAAAAGATATTATTGATCTCTACATAGAATAGCATGCCATGAGAAAATTTTGTTACAGAATTAAACAGGCAAGAAGATCAGAGTAATTTATCAAGATCAAGCAAGATTGTCACTGGAATGAGAGCAGATGAAAGCACACCCACACCGATTGCTTGGTGTTGCAGCAGTGTTCACTAGAACGTGTAACGGTGAATAACATATGGAGTTGGTGTTCTTTTTAACACAAGTTTTGTCAACGGTATTGACTATTTTGAACAAATATGGACTTGACTCAGATGTTTGCAGCTGAAAATCTGTCGCCCAATGTTGTCTATTACAGTACGTTTAAATACGCTTCAGCATCAAACTGAAGCGATAGTTTAGTTCAACGATGCTATGGACATTACAGGGCGCGTGTGGCGTAGTGGTTGGAGCAGGGTTCGCCCTGCAACATACACGTGAAAATCGGTCCCAGCGCCCATGGCCCACCAAGGCTTCCATCCCCGTGGGATCGGCAAGTTGGTACCAGACTTGTCTGGGAGGGCAGTAGCACAGACTCGATACATCGGTAGGCAATCGCGAGTCATGGTAAAAGCCAGATATTCATTCAATCACCTCCAAACGATGCTTAATGAAGTCCAATGCATGACGCATCCCTCACAGATTGATCGAAGCCGAGAGCTTTATCGTTCTTTTAGCTTTATAGACATGGCGAAAGTCATTGTGTACTTTCATACTTTTCGCAATTTGATCAATGGGCTCCATTCGGGCTACAGAACTGGACTCACAGGAACACAGAGGTAGATTATTTGTGGAGTAGTATGGTATAAGTGGAAACAGGCTGTTTAATTTTGTAATAGCAATCATTAGCTTTCGCGGTAGTCCAAAGTTGCCAATTACATTCTCTTGACGCCGGTTGTGGGAATATTTCGGTGGAGGCCATCATAATGAAAAACTGAAATTGTCCTTTATCACCATCATTGGTTCCACCTCCCCGATGTCACTCTTAAAATTTATTATGCCATTATACCAAACCATTATTGTCATCATTCTTGCAATATCCTTTTATTTCATAGAGCGAGGGAAAGTTCGAAAGTTATAAAAGTATGAAAGAACATATCAAAACTACCACAAATTAGAATTTTTCTAATATTTTTCGGCCGAATCCTTGAAGAAATAATGTTGTTGACAACATCGATACTGAATACGGCTGCCCTGCCTGACATCTTAACGATAAAGAATAAAGGATAAAGCTTTGGGCATTGACCAATTCCTGAGGGATGCGCCATAGATTCGACTTCATAAAGAATCGTTTGGAGATGATTGGATGTATATCTGGCCTTTACATCGAACCATCGAACCAGTGCTGCTATCCTCCCAGACAACTCTGGTACCAATTTGCCGAGCCCGGAGGGATGGAAGGCTGAGTGGGAGGCCATATGCGTGGGAATCGATTCCACTTAATCGAATCTTAAAGATAGCGCTGGAAAACCTAAGATTTTTGGGGTCACCAGACTCTCGAGCTGACATGTTAACGTGGAGTCGGTTGAACCACAGTGAGCTATCTTATACCTAGACTTACCAGAACCTTCAGAGAGGAGCTCTTGAAAAAGATCTCAGTGAAGATAAAGGAAAAAACTAGCTGAATGTGCGAAGGTATTAAGACAGTCGTCATACTCCTATTATTTCATCTACTGCATGACCAAGATTATCACTAACTGGTATCTTTTCGGGATGTTCATTGCATTCAGGTCTTCGGCTCCACATTGGACCTATACGACATCTCCTTCCTCTGCTTTCACTTCCTTCTAGGATAGTCCTATCGGTGCACTTCTTCTATCCCGAAATCCGAAATACCTTTTCATCAGTTAAGCGTTGTATAGGATCTTTTTACAGTAGGACTAACATGCACGTATAGAACAGCGCTATTTTTCTCCTCAAGGAGTGTGGTTTAAAATGGTTTCCCAT